AGGGGCCGGGGAGGAGAGCCGCGGTGAAGGGGCTTTCTCTGTGGTCACAAGGACATTTTAAAGTCCGTCCTCATTGGGATGACGTTTTGGGCCCCGGGTTACCGCTCCTTCCTGTTTTACAAGCAGCTAGGGGCCGGTCGTCTGGGGCCATAGCCTGCGGCCCGCCCTGCGGGCCGGCCCTCCACCGGGCTTCCTTGCCACAGGTTTTATTGACTTCATTGTGGAGCCCACGTTCTCCGTGCTCACGGACGTGGCGGAGAAGAGCGTGCAGCCGCTGGCCGACGAGGACTCCAAGGCTAAGAACCAGCCCAGGTGAGGGCGGTCTGGGGTAGGGGGGGTGGGGGCGGGGCAGCGGAGGGCAGGTCTCCCCTTCGGGGCTTGGACGGCCCAGCTCACAGAGGGAGGGAATCACAGGAAGGGGGTGTGCTTAGAGACGTGGGCAGCTTCAAGCTTGCAAGCCAGTCCCTCCACCGCTTGTCACGCACCTGCGTTCGTTCCCCTTTGTTCATCCTCCATTTCCCTTCTATCCTTTCAGCTCTGTCTGTAGTGCCTTTTAACGAACCTGCTGTTTCTTTTCCTTCTATCAGGAGGGGCAGGGTGGGAAGGGAGGGGTGAGATTGAGGGCGGAGGATGGGATCTTGGGGTTTATAGTCCCGGACGAGGGAAAAGTTGCGTCTCCAGGGCCTGGGCGTCTGCTCTTCCACCCTCTCCCTCGCCTGCCCTGGAAGGGCTGTGAGGATGTTCCGGGGTGCGCTGTGCCTCACTTAGGAGTGACGGGAGGGTGGGGCCTGATTCCAGCTTCCAGTGGCGCCAGCCTTCTCTGGACGTGGACGTGGGAGACCCCAACCCTGATGTGGTCAGCTTCCGTGCCACTTGGACCAAGTACATTCAGGAGAACAAGCAGAAATGGAAGGAACGAGCAGCAAGTGGTGGGTACCGTCCGGGGGCTGCGGGAGACCTTGGGGGCAGCCGCGAGGAGGCCGTGGCAGGTGCATGGCCCACAAGCCCCTAGGACAACCCTTTGTTGGAGCCCTGGCATCAGACCAACTCCAGCTAACTCACCAACCATGACCTGCTGCGTGGCCTGGACCTTTCTCGGCTGGGGCTGGAGAGAAGATGCCCTGTTGCTCTCCAGCCAGTGCCACTCGCAGTGACCCCGAGGGCAGGATAGAGCTGTTTCCCGGGGTTTCTAAGGCTGTGGAGGATCCACTCGGTCGGAAGCAGACTGGCCATCTCTCTCTGCTGGAGCAGCTGGCTCCAACCGCTGATGCCTCGGTTGGCAGCCGAGGACCCAACCAGGGCCCCTGGGCGAGAAGACGGCGACACCGAGCCGAAGGCGCTGCTGCATCAGGAGTCCGCCCACCACCCCTGGCTGTGAAATCGCTTTCTTTGTCCAGAAGTTAAGGACTGGGAGTTTTAGCAGGCTGAAGGGAACCCTCTTTCCCCAAGTGGGGCTGAGAGGAGCTCAGTTGGAAGACACGGGGGGTGTGAGAATTGCTTCTTTCTGACCCATCCACTTCTCTGGTTCTGAGAAAAATACTTCTTGGTCTGACCTGCTTCCTTCATGCCTCTCTTTAGGCATCACCAACCAGATGTCCATCGACGGGCTGTCCCCGTGTAAGGAGGAGGAGGCCCCCTCCTCCCCTGCCGAGGAACAGCACAACCAGAATGGGAATCTGGACTAGCCCCAGGGGTGGCCCGGTGAGCATGTGGGGGTAGAGGGGGGAAGTCCTCAGAGCTTAGCGTCCAACGTGACCCCCTCCCTGAAGAGTCATGTCTGGGGGCCAGTGACTAAGGTCTCCCCGACCTTTTCCCAGTGAAGTTGTGGCGTTGAGCCCAGGCAGGAGCGGGAAGTAGGGAAGTCCTCCCACCTGAAGGGGGCACGCAGGAGGGGTTTCTCAGAGCCACAGGAGAGTTGGGGCCAGGGCAAGGTTCCAGCTGCCCGCTACAGCACATGGGGGTGGAGGTGGGGGTGCAGTAGGCACAAGGAACCTGCCCAGTCAGTGTGACTTGGATTTCCAGCCCCCTCACAGCCCCAGCTGGGCACCCTCCTGCAGGGCACTCTTCGCCCATATGCCTGCTGGACTGGGCGGGGTCCAGCAGGACTGAGAGAAGGCAGGGCAGGCCCGAGAGGGGCGTGAAGGTTGGAGCACTGCTGCTTTTCTGCCTTCCCCAGGTCCTCATTGAGTCTCAAGTCTTCGATGTCATCGGCACCATCCATCGGGACTGGCTCCCCGATCTGCTCTAAGGGAGCCCAGAGGTTGTGGACCAGACAGCCCACCGGGAGGCAAAATGCCAGAGACTGTGGGGTCGGGGGAAGGGCCCCTTCCCACCCGAAACCCACTGGGGCACACTTTAATCTCCCGGCAGCAAGACCGGGCAACGTCAGAGTCCCAGTGGTCACTGTGCCCACCCCCCTGCCTCTGGACACCTCCCGTGGTCACTTGTCTGGCTGGGAGTGGGGAGCTTCCTGGAGGTTTCCCAGGGCTTGGTGGGGAGGGTCAGAGATGCCAGCCCCCCGGCCCTCCCCCATCCTTCTTTTTGCCTCCAAGTTTCTAAGCAATACATTTTGGGGGTCCCCACAGCCCCCACCCCAGATCTAAGCTGGCAGGTCTGGGTCTTCCCCCCTGAGAGAGGCTGGCTTGGGATAGAAAGCTGGGGTTTCTCAGAGCCCTTAGAGGTGTGGGGAGGGAAGTGGACTCCTTCAGGGCATGGGACCTTTTTTGTGCCCGGGAATGGGGGCATCTTCTTTCCCCCAGACCTGAACTGCTTCAGTCCCACCCCCAGACCAACTCCTCATCTCCCCTTCCCTCATCCTGACATGGACACCAGGAAAGAGAGGAGCTAGTGGGACCAGGGGCTGAGGGGTGCCCTGGTCTGGGATCTCTGAGAGCTTGGGACTGGGTCACCTGCCCTAGTGGGGTCCTGAAGGCCCTTGCCTCCTCCCTCTCCCTACAAGGTGGGGGGTGGGGGTGGGGCGGGGCGAAGGAAGCTCCCATCCGACCAATGTCTGTAAAGTGTGTCCAGGTCTTCCCTGAAAAGCACCTTGGGATGCATCTTGCGAGCACAGGCAGGAGACTAGCTGGGTGGGAGTCAAGGATGCAGTGGGGAGGGTGGGGCATAAGCCACTGATCCTGTGTTGCTAACAGAGAGAGCACCTCATCTCCCTCAGCCTTTGAATCTGCCCAGCTGTAGACACCAAGGGCCCCTTCCCTGGGGCAAATGGAGAGTGGCCAGGTGGAAGGCTGATGTGGGAGGGGCTCAGGGCTGCGGCCCGCCAGACCCTCTGAATGGAGCCCAGCAAGGCCCAGTGCCCCTTCCTCTCCTCAGGCTCCTCCCGCCCCCACCTCGCCCCAGGAAAGGCCAACGTTCAGGTGACTGCCCCTCCTCGCTTGTAAATATCAACCATGCATTTGTACAGTGGGCCCTGTTTGCGTGAAGTTCATATCCATGGTCCCTGACACCTGTCCCTCCCACCCCACCCCTAGTGGGGCAGAGACGCATGCGACTCATCCCCTACCCTTGGTCTCCCTGGCCCCTGCTATAGCCAGAGATCAATAAAGAAGGGAGACCAGGCCTGACTGTGTGTGGTGCTCAAGGTGGGGGTGGGGGGGGGATGGGATATGTGTGTGTGTGTGACCCAGCAGCTTGTACACCTTCTCTCTTAAGCTTGAGGACGCCTGGTGAGGCATTGTCAAAGGCGCCCGGGGGAGGGGGTCTTGCCCAAGGCCACACAGGTGCTTGGCAGAAGGGCCTTCCCCTTCTGGGTTCGGCTGCTCTTCTTCTCAGTCCTGCCTTCTCCTTTCCATTCAACCCAGCCCTTCACCTTCTTTCCTCCACTCGCTGGAAATTGCCAGAGCAGCTGGCAGCAGAGGTCTGACGGTGGGGGGGGGGGGGGGGGGGGGGGGGGGGCGGGGGGGTTGGTGGAAGCCTCTTCACCTATTTATTACTGGGTTTTGCTTTTACTTGGGTCCTTTGGTGGCTACAGTAAGGGAATCAATGGCCCTTCCAGTGTTAGCCCAGGCCCCTTCTTTAGCATCCACGCTGATCATAGTCCATTTTCAGCAGTGGCGTGTGAGCTCTTGGGGCTGGCATAAGGATGTGGGTGTGGATGTTGTCTCCTCATAGCTGGAAGGGGGACACATCTCAAACCCTCAAAAACTCAATTGTCATTGAGTTGATGCCGACTCAGAGTGTGGCCCTACAGGACAGGGTGGAACTGCCCCTCTGGCGTTCTGAGACGACATCTTTACGGAAGCAGAAAGCCCTGTCTGTCTTTTCTGGAGCAGCTCCTAGTTTCAGACTGCTGACCTCGGGGCTGGCAGCCCCACAAGTAACCCATTCCACCACCAGGGCTCCTGTCCCAAGCTTCTCACTGCGGGCGAGTCGATGTTGACTCACTATTCTATAGGACGGTAAAACGGGCCCTGTGAGTTTTGGAGACTGTCACTTTCTATAGAAGTAGGAAGCCCCATCTGACACAGAACTGCTGGTGGTCTTGAACGGCTGATCTTGTGGTTAGCAGCCCAACATGTAACCACTGTACCAACAGGGTTCCTATATCCCAGGTTCAGAGTTCCAAAACGAAGGCAGCTGAAACTCGAGGTATACACACAACCTCCCTTCCCTTGCACCAAGGGGCAAGGTGCAGTTCCCTTGTTTGTCCAGCAGGTGGCCCGCACAACACAATCGCAGATGGAGAGGACACAAGCCTTCCTGCACCAAGCAGCCCTTCCCAGTGATCCTGGAAGTTAGTCCTGCCACCTCACTGACCCCCTTCTTTCTTTCCACATCCCTCCACCTGCAGGGTGAGGAGAAGAATACCTTCCTCCTCTAGGTCTTGCCACTTACCCTTATTTCCTGCTTCCCGGAGGCAGATGGGCAGGAACATGGGCATGGGGTGCCGTAGAGAAGGTGGTAAAATGGAAGGGAGGGATCCTCCAAATTGGGAAAGAAAGAAAGTGCCACGAACCTGACATTAAATTTATCACATTTAAAAACAGGAAAATTCTCCCCAAAGTGAAGAAATACATCCAGGGTCCATGCCTTCCCAAGCTGCAGTCTTGAGTCCAGGGTACCTCCTTCCCCCTCAGACCTGGTGCGGGGAGAGGGGACAGAAAGAGGAGGTGAGCGAGAGGCCAGAGGGTCTTGAAGGATCAACACGCTCTCCCCTCAGCTGGTCTGCTCAAACACCCCATGCACGAAGCATCTGACTTCTGTGAAGGCCGTTCTCATGTCTGATGGTAATCCCTGCTCCCTTGTCCAGTCTACAGAGGGGGAGCGAGGATGGTCAAGTCAAAGCAGAGGAAGCTATTTCGTCAATGCATCCAGCTCCAGAGAGGGTCCCTTTTCACCCACCTTGGCGAGGGGTCCAGAGTGCACTTTAGCTATATATGACCCCAGGTCTACTTCCATCACCCATTCCATGAGCCAGAAGTCATCCACAAAATTAACCTCAGTTCTCCCCGTTACAGCTTCATCCCACTTCCCACTGTTGGCCCATCAGAGGCACAGCCTCTAGAATAACTTTTCAGTAACCGATGCTGGTCCTTGGCTTCACCTTTCCCTCACTCCAACTACTGGGCCCCTCTCCATCCACACAGCCTGCTCTCCTAGTCCTGGCTGATTGCCCTGGGGTCTTACCGAGTTGGCTCCCTGGGAATCCAATGGTGGTATATGGGTGGAGAGCTCCTCTGTGCGGGGGCCCTCGCTGCCCCTCTCCTGAGTTTTAGGGATGGCTCCTGCAGACTCTGTGGAGGAAAAGCACGTCGCAGAGGGAGGGTGGCATTCATGGAGGCTCTGCTTCTGCTCCACACATCCTGTACCCGATGGTCACGGAGAGAGGCTCGAGACTAACCGGGTTCTTGCTGATCACAGCGACTACAGGCTTACTGTTTTGTTTGTTTGTTTTTAATATGCGATCAGAAAAGAAAACAAAACTCTGAATTGTATTTTCCATTTGGGTACCCAATCACTCCATGGCTCCTGACCTGAACGGATTGGCTAGTGATTGTCTTTATTTAGCCCACTTAGTTCTACCATTCATTTGCTGGCTAACAAAACACGAATCGATTACAGCGCAGGGGTAGTATGCAGTGTATAGCATATGCTCCCCACTTCCCTGAAGCCCAGAAAGTTCTGAACCCCACCTGGATGGGGGACTGCGGTCATGTCCTAATATGTCCTAAGACCACCCGCAGCCGCTTCCATCGAGTGCTTGTCTTCTTCATGTCAGATGCCGGGCTAAGTAAGAACCTTCTCATTTGATTTTCACAGCCCTGCGAAGTAGGCTCCCTCCTCGTCACTTTATAGACTGGGGTGGGCTACGTTAAACCAGGTCTCTGGGTCAGATTTTGGCCCAGGAGTGCTGGCTTTACATTACAGTGGGCTCTCCCAATCCGTTCACAGAAGGGAACTCCCAAGTGCAACCTGGGAAGGGCTTGTGTCCTTCGGTAAAGACAGGAAGTGATGGGACTATGGGGAATACATGTAATACCTATGTTCTCAGTAGAGTTGCTGGACACGGTGAGACCTCTCCCAGGCTCCAGCCCCTGCAATGGGCGAGACCCTCCTCCTCCCAGGCTGGGGAACAGGATGCCTGGGTTCCTCTCCAGCCTGAACATACTTTGTGCTGTTTCCGAAGAGCTCAGCCTGGGCTCTGCTTCTGTGTCGGTGATCCCGGGTGGGCAGGACTCCTGGGGCCCCGTTCTCGCCACAGCTCCCTCAGGTTCCTCTCCCTGCTGCTGTTGCCCTAGGTGATGTTCAACCATCATCTGGAGCTCTGGCGAGTGAGCAAAGGAGAGAGCACTGACCTTGACTATGGGAATCAGCCCCGTGCCCCACCTTCCCCTCGCACCCCCACCGAGCCAACAGCCCACGACAGGGTCATCACACCCTGCTGCCAGTGTAGGGTGGACTTTCCCACCTGCTGAGATTTGGACGAGGAGGGGGCACTAAAGCTAGACCAAAGACACTGGGCGAACATGCTCAGCTGCTGGAGGTTCATGTCCCCCCAGAGAGGCCTGGGGAAAACCAGCCCTTGGAAAACCCTCTGCAGCACAGTTCTCTGACACCCGCGGGGTGGCCACGAGTCAGGCTCTGAGGACAACTCCTAACTGGCAGAAGGTGCCCGCCTTGGTGGTGCGCTGGGCGAAGTGTCGGGTTGCCAACAGGAGGGTTGGCAGTTTGCACCCACCAGCCATTCTGTCTGCTTCCATCAAGGCTGACAGCCTCTGAAACACTGCGGAGCAAGCCTCGCCTGTTCTCGAGGGTCGCTACACGTTAGAATGGGCTCCTCAGCAGAGGTTTGGTTTTGTTCAGGTTGGCTTAGTCATCCCTGGCAAAGCTGGGCCATAAGAGCACTTCTTTGAAAGGGAATGGAGGAGTCTGGGAAGAGACTTGAAGAAAGGTTATCCTAAGCTGCTGAGATACAGGTCGCCCTTGAGGGTGGGAGAAAAGACCCCCGTGGAAGAGAGACCTGGGCATCTATCTCCCTGCGCAGGCGGAGTTCATATACCTGGTTTTGTTTAACCGCCAAGTGGTTCTGGTGGCAGAGTTAGGAGTCGAGGACCAGGTTCACGCTAACAAGGCAGATTTCATGACCTCCCAAGGACTTCTTCTAAAGGGGTCAGTGGCAGCCTCAGACATGGGAACAAGCGGGGAGAGAGGGTCTTCCAAACCTTTCATTGTGGGGGTGGTCCTCGTCACCTTCTTGCGCTGCCGTGGAGACATTGACAGAGTGGACTGTTGAGGAAGGCAGAGCAGAGGTGGGTGGCGGCCCCCCTCCCCGTGTTCCCCTGCCTCATGTGCATTGGGGCTGGAGACTGGGGCAGGGGTGGGCTTCAGAAAATTGGGGAAGAGAACCCTGGCCCCTGGCTTCCCCACCATTCATGGTGAGCAAAGAGAGGGGATGTGGGAATGTGTGGGGAGGCATGTGTCAATATGTATCCACTCAGGAAACTTTGGGGGTGCAGGAAGGGTGTGTGTGTCTCACCGTTTCTATGGATGGGAGGAGAGGCAGGGGAACAATCCCCTCTGAGTCTGTGGACTCTCCAGGCTGGGCAGAGTAGAGGGGTTGGCTCACCTTAAGAAGTGGGTTGGGGATCCGGTCTTCATCGATCTCTGAGGAGAACGGGAGATGAGGAAGGTGGTGAGGACAGGGAATGGGGGGGGAGGGGTAGTTCCCACCTAGCTGCCTGTCCAAGGGGAGGGGACTTTGCAATCACCTTTCCTGATCTAGTCCCTTCCATCCAGCTTCTAGGATTTGGGTCCTGATGGCGGCTGGAGAGCTCCTCTGGAGCCTCGCTCTGCTCCTGTCCTACCTCAGCCTGCTGCATCCGGCCCTGCCACCCCTCTGGGGCTGTGGGCAGTCTGTGCCTTCCTCCAGGTCTAGACCTGATCCCCCGCCCCCCCCATCGGAAGGCAAAGCCTGCTGCACCTCTGCTCTCTACCACCCTTAGAAATATCTTCAATGACCACTGGATTCCTGGAGGGTGGGGGTGGCGGCAGTGTCATGGGAGCCAGGTGGTCTCTCTCCTCTCCTAGCATGGTTTCTGTCTTTCCACAAGCAAGTGAAATCCTTCAGATGAGTCGGATCAGCTGCTTCTTCAACCCCTGGGATTGAGGTTGCTTCTAACATCTATCAGCCCTAGTCTGCCATTCGAGCTAGCACCCACATCCTTTCCCTGGGACCTAGCAGTCTATAGGAGCCCCCACTCCATTCAGCGACCCATCCCTTGGGTTACCTGGGGAGGACTGGTCACTGGTCAGCACGAGGGTGGCAGGGGTGGGGCGGCGCCTCCGAATCTGGAGGGAGGAGTGAAGGGAAAGAAGTCAAAAGCCAGTGGAGGCATCTCAGCCACCTTCTTGGAGCTCACACCCTCCTCCCAGCACTTTGCAATCCAGGCACCCTCCCTGCACCCCCACCCAAATGACCATGTTGTACTGGGCCCAGTCTCCCAGGGTGGGCATCCTTGGGTGCATCCTCCTACCCAGGGGAGGGTTCCTCCTGAGGACCCACCAGGCCCCCCCTCTCCTGTTCTGCCTTCCTTCTGGCAGGGGCCTGGCCTCAGCCCCCCATCTCAGCAGTGGTTTCTGTGCAGATGCATCGATCTCTGGCCTGCTGTCCATCCGTCCAGCCCGGATCAATGGTCAGAAATAACCTGAGAGGGCAGAGGTCTCTCTTCCCTACCCAGCCTGCTCGCCAGATGGACATTAATCTTTAGTGGACCAGCAGCACCTGCACATTGTACTCCTCAATCCCCATGCGCAGGGCACAACACGGAATAGCCCTTCGGGCCCGCGACCCTCCCCCACCTCGTGGCATCCTTGAATCCTTAATGATTTGTCTGGAAATAGCGGCGGGGGTCGGGTGGGGGGAATCCTTGTCTGGGTAAACGTAATAGGAGGAGTCCTGGACAAGACGTCTGCAGTCAGCGAGTAGAGTTTCGCTGAAAAAAATCTTATCCTGGACTTCCAGGCACCTGCTAAGGAATTTGCATGTAAGAGCAGACTGACAAGACCGTTCTTTTGTCTTGCTGCCAATAAAGTTTGTTGTTGTTGAAGATAGTTTTATTCCTTCTCTCTGGAGGCTAGAGGTTTGGAAGTAAGGACATCAAAGCGGCTGGAGTCCCTGCAGCTCCCTCCAGGGCAGTCCTGGCAGGGAAGGCTAACTGGCTAAAATGATCCGTGCCTGAGAGGCGTAGGGGGAGGACACTGAGTAATCAAATCTCTATCCTTCAGTCTCCATTATTCAGTCACCATGTGGGGTGGGAGGTAGAGAGACACCTGTCCTTGGCCGGCAGTGCCTAAAAATTGAGCGCCGGCTGCAGCGTGGGAGGAGGGGGAGGACAATGTTCTTCTGAGAGGGGGTTCTTCCTTAGGTATGAAATAGGATGCCTAGGTTGGGGTGTGTGTGTGGGGGTCAGTCATCTCTCTCCCAGGAGAATCCCACAGCACATATGCTTTTGGTGACATTTCAAGGTCCCTGTTGGTAACAGCCTCCCTCCCCTCCCCATGCAAATGTGGGCATGTTTGTGTTTCTGTATACACAGGGATTGCCTAAATATTGGCTGTGATTTCATCTCTAATTATTCCTGATGTTAATGTGCTGGATGCTGGCATGTGGGCACCTGTGTTTCAAATATGTGGGGGTAGGGGGCATCCTTTTATGAGGAGAGCCTCCCCCCTACTGCTTTCCTACCTGCAAGGTCAAAGAGAGGCCGGGAGAGAGCGAACTGGGATGTGTGGGTTGGTTGAGATAAGGTCTTTTGGGGGAGCCCGTGGAAGAGACTGCACAGGTGTGACAGAAGGGGCATTTGAGAAGGCAGTCGGGCTGTGATTGTGGGCAGGTCCCCTTCCTTAAGCCATTCCCTTGCCTCAGACAAGATTTTTAAGTGCTCAAAAGTCCTTGTTCTATAGCCATCGGATTGATTCTGAATCCCAGTGACCCAGTGACAAAGTAAAACTGTCCCATGGCAGCCCAACCTTTAACCCACCACACCACCAGGGGTCCTTTGTCCTCCAGCAGAAGAGAACCCAGCCAGACTTCCTGAAGCATTGCCAGTGTGTGAGCCACTAGGATGCTGCAGATGATCTCTTCTCTTTCCCCACACAGATTCTGAGTCCCGGCTTTTCAAGGACACCTGGTACCTCTGCCTCTGATTTATTTCCAAACCAGGATCTGATCCTTGTGGGCACTACTCCACCCCCTGCCACTCTGCTGCATAGCTCCGAGAGCTTCCAAACCCTCTCACCCTCCCGTCTCGGCCCAAGCCCCTGCCAAGCCTGGAGCTTTCTGCCTATACACGTGGTAATCCAGCAGAAGGGGCTGAGGTGGAGTCTCCGCCTAGGAGTCACTGACTTCTGGAGAGCAGAGCACAGCAGGCTTGTGTCCCCGCTAGATTTTTCCTCCTGGCTCCTTTGCCACTGCTTCAAGCTCTTGCCCCCAACCCCTTCTGTTCTCAGATCCCGGAACCAGCAGCTGGCCAGCCCCTCCCCCTTCTCACACACTTACACCTGCCTCCCTAAACCCCAAACAAATGCAGGTGTCAGCCACAAGACCGCGCTGTGCCAGTAGGAGGCAGTTCCGCTCAGAATGCACCCCAACTCCCAGAGCGCCATTTTTTGGGTGACCTTTTTTCCTGGGACTGAGGTTATTGGCTAGTTGGAATTCTTGGGAGGTGCAAATGGCTAAGTGTTCTACTACTAACCCAGAGGGTGGTAGTTTGAACCCACCGAGAAGTACCTGGGAAGAAGGGTTTGGAAACCTGCTTCCAAAAGTCACCACCGTGAGCACTCTCTGGAGCACAGTTGTATTTTACACACGTAAGGTCACCAGGGGCTGGTATTGGTTCAAGGACTCCAAAGCTCATGGCCGTGAGTCGATGAATACTCAAAGCAACCCTACAGGACAGGGTAGAACTGCCCCTGTGAGGTTCCAAGACTGTAATAGGAGTAGAAAGCCCCATCTGTCTCCTACAGATGGCTAGTGGATTTGAACTGCTGACCATGCGGTTAGTAGCCCAACACATACCCATTATGCCACATAATGAGAAGTTATTTGAGCTCATCCCCTGCCTCCAGGCGGAATGGTCTTCCTAAGGGAACGCCCATGCCTTTGGCTCTCTATTCTCACTCAGGAGGTGTGTGAGGTCTCAACACAACTGTCCTCATCACACCTTTAGAAACCTGGAGATTCGGCTCACAAAGGCCAGGGAGAGGATGGAGACACAGGTATCTACCCCCCCCACCCCAGCCCCCGGGAACTCAAAATCATAGAAAGAATGTATGTTCGTATCCCTTCCTTCACACAGAGACCTTATTCCACTGAACAGCTGGGATAAGCAAGGAAAGAAGACATTTCTTCCAGTCATCCCTGAGGTCTCAAAGTTGTTGTTTCAGGTGGGGAGGTCCAGCCTGAGGCCTCCCAGACAGCTGGCTGAGGGAGACAGAGACCTGACCTTGCTCAGTGCATAGTCTTTAGGAACAGGGAGCTCTATGCAAATGGATAGAGAATACCCCAAAGATGGAACAATGGGCAACTATTTGGCCAACAGGCAGTAGGAAGGACTACGGGTAGTCACCTGCTCCACACACATGCTCACGCTACCGAGCCACACACTTGCCCACACACTCTCATACACAGCCCTTTTCTGCCAGGCTGCTCAGAGCTAAAAATAGGCCAGGCCAGGAGGCTGGGCCAGAGCCCTGGACTCCCACCCTTTGAGGGAGTCCAGCACAGTGCTGCTCACTTGAATCTTGCTTTGAATGGACTCTCGGTCTCCGGAAAAGCCCTCCTGCTGGCCTTTCAGCAACACTTCTCCATCCCGCCCCTACCTCCTCTCCCAAAGGCAGGAGTTGTGAATAAAGAGCCCCGAATGTCCATACTCCATGATCCTTTCCCCAAAGCCCCAGCCCTTGCCGGCTTCCTCAGCCCCTTCTTGTTCACTCTCTGAAGCCCTCCATCCCTCCTCCACCCTCAAGGTGCGCTCCAGTTAGGGTGGGGACTGGGAGGGCTATTTCTCCTCTTTCAAATCCTAAAGCACCACGCTCCATCCATCACCTGCCCACCTCTCTTAACCCTTCTGCACCGTAGCTATTACCCCGGCGCGCCCCCACCCGAGCTCAGAAACTCTGGAGGGGGCTGACTGGGTGGAGGACGCAAGATGATTGAAGGGGAAGGGGTCGCGTCTTCAGGCTCGCCCTCTCCCCCAGGGTTGGGGACGCAGAGGACGACTCTCTCTGGGGACAGGCGTCTAGTGGAGGCGCTCATCCTTCTGTCGGTTTCGAAGAAGCCCAGATGGGGAGATGTTGCTCCAACGGTGGGGGAAGGGACAGAGGACCCCCAAACTGAGCCTCTTCTCCCTCCAAGGAGCGCCCTGCTTAGGGAGGGCTGGACAGGGATCTCAGGTCCCTCAGTCCAGGCATCCCTCGCCCGAGCTAGGCGAATCCGTTCCGGCTCCACCCAGCTCCTCACCTGCTCGGCCGCCTCCGGGTCAAGGTGCGGCTCCAGGAGCGGGACCGTGAACTGGATCTTCCGGGGGCTGTTGTCTTGCTCCATGGCTGGGGCGGCGGCCTCGGGGCCTGCGCTGCGGCGGCAGGAAAGTCGGCAGGACTCGGGGCTGGGGCAGGCGCGCTCCCTCTCCGCTGCGCTCC